TTTCAGTCTGTGTGAGTCCCTTCTAATGAGGTGGGTCTCTTGTAGACAGCAGATGTATGGGTCATGTTTTTTTATCCATTCAGCCACTCGATGTCTTTTTCTCTTAGGCTCTCCTCCTGCTTTTTAATTTTTTTTCTAGAAGCTGCTCTGCTTTGGTATTTTTTCCTACCTTGTCTTCTAGCTCACTGATGTGGTCCTCTGCTTCTTCTAGTCTACTGTTGATGCTTTCCATTGAGTTCTTTATAGCTGTGATGTCATTTTTCGTTTCTTCTTGGTTCTTCTTCATTTCCTCTTGGTTCTTACACATATTGTTGAATTTGTCTTCCATTCTTTTCAGCCACCTTATGACCATTTCTCTGAATTCTTTCTCTGACAGGTTTCTTGCCTCCATTTTGTTTACTTCTTTTTCTGGTGATGCCTGTTTTTCTTTCATATGTGGGCTGTTTCTTTGTCTCCCCATGATCTCTCTTCTCCGGGTGTCTGGTTATGTAGTTCTCTCCCTGCTGCATTGATTTAAAGGCATAAAATACAACACAACAAGGCACAACGCACAAGGCACTGAATACAAATGTGTTCACGATACTAATAACCCCAAATAAAGGTGACCACCAAAGAAAGGAGAATTAGGGGATAAGAAAGAAAGAACAAAAGAAACAGAAAAAAGAGAAAAAGATAAAAAAGGAGTGCAAAAATGAAATTGGGAAAAGGAAAAAAAAAGTAAGAGAGGAAAGAAAGAGAATGAAATAGAAGAGGGGAAGAAACTATTTATATGGGGAGAAAACTCCAATAGAACAGCCACTAATCCCAACAAATGCCAGCAACAGATACCTAGAGATAAATGCAAACTACAAACAACAACTAATATCAAGTGAGGTGAGGGAAAACCGAAGCAAAAAATAACCGGAAAAAAAAACCAACAAAAAAATAAAAAGAAAAAGCGAAACGATCTCACAAACAAGCATAAAACCCCCAATATAATCAACAATCAAGCAAACAACAACAAAACGACAGAAAAAAATTTGGATAGTGAAGAAAGAGAAGAGAGAGTTGTATATGGGCTTAGAGCAGGGGATTGGAAATTATATAAGTAGGGTAAAATTTTCACAGGGGGTAAAAAGAAGGAATAGGGAAAATCTAAAGCAGAAATAGGGTATGAGAAACAGGACAACACAAGGTGAAAAGTGAAGAAGAGAGTTTTGGCATAAAGGTAAAGTTGAGATAGAGTAAAATGATGCTAAAGGAAAGATGAAAATAGAATGTAGAGCACTAATCCCAAAATAAAATAAAGAGAAAATAAAATGACACTTAAAAAAAAAAGATAAAATGGTAGTAGTAATAATACTGGTTAAAAGTAAAAATGTAGTAATTAAAAAGGTAAAATCAGGTGAAGAAAAAAATAAAAAATTGTAGTTTCTTAAGTAAAAGGTGAAAAAAATAAAAATGGGCAGTAGTTAAGGTCCTTCATTTCCTCTACTCTTCTGTTTGGCACGCCTTAGTCCATTAGTCCTCTCTAGCCAGTATTTAGGTGTTGTTTTCCCTATCACACTTTATACTGGTTTGGGAGAGTCGACTGCCCCAGAGCTGGTTCCTTGATCGTTACTCCCCGCTCTGATTCCCAGGTTCCACAAAAACAACTTTCCCCTGCAATTTCTGTGAGTGACCCCAATTGGGTGATCCTATGTTTTGGGTTTAATAATCAAAAGCAAAGATTTAAGGAAAAAAAAAAAGAGCCTGAGTATGTGCGTGAGCTCGCAACCCTCCACCGTCCAGCTCTGTGTTCAATTCTCTCAAAGTCTCTTCCGCACGTCCTCTCTCCCCTGGCACAAACAGCCAGCACACTGGCAAAATCTGAGGCTGCCTTTTTGCACCCAGTCCAGCTATGGGCTGATTTTTAGAGTTCCCTTCTGCCAGAAGCCCTGTGGGACCCCTTCCACATTCACGGATCACGCTGGCCCCAATGGCCGCGGACTTTGTGGGGCGCAGACTTCCCCCGAGCGCATTTCTCTCTCCAACCTGAATTACAAACTGCACCTTTATCTAGGCGAAATCTGAGGAGGAGCAGGGCTCGTCTGAGTCCACGTATTTGCGCTGCTTGAGATCCGGTGTTCCTGGGTTCATAGCTGGTCCCTGGGTGCCGTGGTTGCAGTGTCTCTGGATGTATACGCTTCCGATATCAGCCACTCAAGATGGTGCTGTCTCCGTGGCTGAGCCGGCCACTCTGGGAGAGATTTCAGCAGCAGTGGAGGCTGCCCAGTTAGGGGAGCCCGATCCGGCAGTCTTCAACAGTCCCCTGGAGTATAGCTGTTGCTCACCCACAAATTTACACTCTCAGGACGTCCACACACTCTCCTTTCGTTCTCTCACTCTCACACTGTCTTGCAGTCTGCCTTCCTGTCGGCAGCCATCTTCTCTTCAGCTCCCAGAAGTTTTTTTATGTATTTGGGTGCTGCTGCATTGGGTTCTTATATGTTTACCAGAGTTATATCCTCTTGTTGTATAGATCCCTTTAGAATTATGAAGTGGCCTCCATTGTCTTTTTATGGTCCTCACTTTGAGGTCTATTTTATCAGATATAAGTATTGCTACCCCAGCTTTTTTTCATTTCCATTTACCTGAAAGATATTTTTTCATTCCTTCACTTTCAGTCTGTGTCAGTCCCTTGTTCTGAGGTGGGGCATGTTTTTCTATCCATTCATTCACTGGATCTCTTTTGATTTGAGCATTTAATTTATTTACATTTAATGTTATTATTGATAGGTACTTGTTTGTAGCCATTTCTATTCTTTATGCCTGTGTTCCTTTCTTCCTTACTATTTCTTCTTTTTACAGCATTCCCTTTAGCATTTCTTTCATTGCTGGCTTGGCAATGATAAACTCCCTTAGCCCTTTGTTTGTTTGCAAAACTCCTGATTTCCCCTTCAATTTTGATTGATAGTCTTGTTGGATAGAGTGTTCTTGGACTCAGTCCTTTGTTTTGCATCGCTTTGTATACCTCCTTCCATTCCCTTCTAGGTTGATATGTTTCTGTTGAGAAATCATTTATCTGATGGGGGATCCTTTGTAGTTAACTCTGTCTCGCTTAAAGCCTTTAAGATTCTCTTTTTGTCATTAACATTTGCCATTGTAATTATGATGTGTCTTGGTGTGGGTCTTTTGGGATTCATCTTCCTTGGGACTCTCTGTACTTGTGTAACTTTTTTGTTCCCCATATCCGGGAAGTTTTCTGTCATTATTTCTTCAAATAGATTCTCTAATCCTTGCTGCTCTTCTTGTCTTTCTGGCACCCCTATTTTATGTATGTTACTTTGTTTCATGTTGTCCCAAAGCTCCCTTAGGTTCTCCTCCTGCTTTTTAATCTTTTTCTCCAGTTGCTGTTCAAATTGTGCTTGTTTCTAACTCACTAATTTGGTCCTCTGCTTCTCCTAGTCTACTGTTGAAACCTTCCATGGTGTTTTTTATTGTAGCTATATCACTTTTGATTTTCCCCTGATTTTTGCTTAGGTTGTTGTTTTTTCATCCATCTGGTTTATGAACTGTACGACCATTACTCTGAATTCCTTTTCTGACATATTGTATGCCTCTGTTTCACTTATTTCCTTTCTTGGTGATTCCTCTTTTTGTTTTCTTTGGGGATTGTTTCATTGTCTCCCCATTCTAGCTATGACCAGATGGTCCAAGCTCCAAGTTGCGGGGGCCTGAGGTGTGTGGCGGGAGCGTCGCACCACCTGAGCGTCACTGAAGAGCTCAGGTACTGAGATGTGTGGCTTCCGTGGGTCAGCGGGAGCCACACACGCCGAAAATCAGAGTCCCCACATGCCTGTGCCGAGAATCACAGTCATGGGCACTCAGTGTGGCCTCTTGCATTCGCCGAGAATCAGAGTCCCCATGTGCGCCGATAATTAGAGTCACTGGTGCTTGGTGTGGCTTCATGCTCACACCTACAATTAGATTACCTCATGCGCGCTGAAAAACAGAGTCCCTGCATGTGTGGACCAAAAACCAGAGTCCCCCAAGCATGTGCTGGGAATTGGAGTCCCCGTGTGCACATGCCAAGAATTGAGAATCAGAGTCTCTGGTGTTTGGTGTGGCCTCAAGCACTCTCCGATAATCAGGGTCCCAGTGCACGTGCGACAAGAAACAGAGTCCCCAGGGATGCTCCCTGAGAATCAAAATCACTGGCCCTCAGTGTGGCCTAGTGCGCACTCCCAGAATAAGTTCGTGCACGTGGATAATCAGAGTCCCCATGAGCGCGCGATGAGAAACAGAGTCCCTGGGTACATGCGCCAAGAATCAAAGTCATTAGTGCTCAGTGTGGCCTCACATGGCACCAAGAATCAGTCCACGTGTGCTGATAATCAGAGTCCAAGTGCACGCATGCGACAAGAAACAGAGTCCCCTCTTGTGCATGCAGAGAAACAAAGTCACTGGTCCTCAGTGTGGCCTTGCAAGTGCACCAATAATCCGAGTCCCTGGCCTGCTAGTGGGGTGGGGTTGCACATTGCCCAGTGTTGGTGGGAGGCTCGCTTGCGCACCACATGTCATGCAGGCCCTTTACCACTGTGGCAGGCTGGGGGGCAGGGGGGTGTGCTTTGTGACTAACTGAAATCTGCAGCCTGGAATGTCTGGAGTCTCGGTGTCCCTGGGTCTGCAGCTGTGGTAGCAGGTCTTTGTCCAGAGTGGCTGCAGGGTCCCGGTTTGCATCTGAGGCCAGTCTGGGTGGTGGTAAGGCTAGAATCCTAGTCACAACAGTTCTTCCCTTCAGTATGGCGTGGTTTCTGTGCCAGCGCTGGCCGCCTGGGAGTGTTTGCAGTAGCAGCAGGGTCTCACAGTCTAAGACCTTCCAATCCACCAGCCCCTGAAAGTCGTGCAGGATCTAACTGTCCCTAGTTCACACACACACTCACCACACACGTCCACACACTCCTCTTTCGCTCTCTCACTCTCTCACACTTTCTCTCTCCCTGCTATCTTGCCAGTTGCCATCTTCCTTCTTCCTGTACCACAGCTTTTTTATCCACTCATCTATTGATGGGCACTTGGGCTATTTCCAGATCTTGGCTATTGTAAATAATGCTGCTATGAACATGGGGGTGCATATATTTTTTTCTGATTGGTGTTTTGGGATTCTTAGGATATACTCCAAGAAATGGGATTGCTGGGTCAAAAGGAAGTTCCATTTTTAATATTTTTGAGCAACCTTCATACTGTTTGCCATAGTGGCTACCCCAGTCTGCATTCTCATCAATAGTGCACTAGGGTTCCCTTTTCTCCACATTCTCACCAACACTTGTTGTTTGTTGATTTATTGATGGTAGACATTCTTGCAGGTGTGAGGTGATATCTCATTGTACTTTTAACTTGCATTTCCCTGATAATTAGTGATGTTGAGCATTTTTTCATATTTCTCTTAGCCATCTGTATGTCCTCTTTGGAAAAGTGTCTATTCAGGTCCTTTGCCCATTTTTAAATTGGATTGTTTGTCTTCCTGGTGTTAAGTTGTATAAGTTCTTTATATATATTGGAAATTAACCCCTTATTAGATGTGTCATTGGCAAATACGTTCTCTCATACAGTGTGTTCTTTTGTCACTTTGTTGAAGGTTTCTTTTGCTGTGCAGAAGCTTTTTAGTTTGATGTAGCTCCATTTTTTTAAAAAAAAATTTTTCCCTTGTTTCTCTTGCCCTAGAACAGGGGTGGGCAACCCCTGGCACGCGTGGCAAACATGGCACACCAGTAACTTTTGCTGGCATGCGAAACCCTCTCTTATAATCTTCCATTTATAATTGTGAATCTTTGTTCTCAGTGATGAATTTTGTTAAGTCTCATAATAGGAGTAGCCTGATGGATGAAAGTAGTAGCTCGTGCATATCTCTGAAGGTCACGAAATATAAACCTGATGTAAAATCTCTGTCATCAGTGATGCAGCAGCAAAAGTCCCACTGATAATATCAAATGGAGTCATAAAGTTTTCTGTCGGACTATCAGTGTACATGTATACATTAAAAAATAAATGTATTTTTCATCATCATATACTGTGTTTTTGTCGCTCGAATGAATTTTATTATTTCTTCAAGGTTTTCCACATACGTACACCTTAAGAGATATCAAGTAGGCATAACATGTTCTCAAAAAATTAGGGTTGGCACGCAGAAGAATTTTGAGTCAGAGATTTTGCTGGTTTTGGCACGCACTCACAAAAATGTTGCCCACCCCTGCCCTAGAAGATATATTGGCAAAGATTTTGCTATGAGAGATGTCTAAGATTTTACTACATTTGGTTTCTTCTAGGATTTTTATGGTTTTGCAACTTATTAAGTGTTTTACCTATTTTGAGTTTTTCTTGTGTGTGGTTTAAGTTGGTGGTCTAGTTTCATTTTTTGCATGTACCTGTCCAATTTTCCCAATACTATTTATTGACAGGATTGTGTTTACTCCATTGTATGCTCTCACCTACTTTGTCAAATATTAATTAACCATAAAGGTGGGGGTTGATTTCTGGGTTTTCTGTTCTTTTCCATTATCTATATGCCTGTTCTTATGCTAGTACCGGGCTGTTCTTTGTTTGTTTGTTTTTGGTTTTGTTTTTTAGTTATGTTTCAAGTTTATATTTCATTTTATTTTATTGTTTAAAGTATTACATATATCTCCTTTTTCCACAATTGACCTCCCCCTCCACTCCCTCCCCCCAGGACAAGCCCCCATCACCCCAGTGTCCCTGTCCACTGGTTATGCTAATATGCATGTATACAAGTCCTTTGGTTGATCTCTTGCCACACACCCCCCTGCCTCCCCTGAGCTGTTTTTTAAAAAAATATGTTTTTATTGATTTCAGAGAGAAAGAGAGAAGAAGAGAGAGATAGCAACATCAATGATGAGAATCATTAATTGGCTGCCTCCTGTATGCCCCCTACTGGTGATCTAGCGTGCAACCCAAGCATGTGGCCTGACCGGGAATCAAACCATGACCTCCTGGTTCATAGGTCGATGCTCAACCACTTTGCAACCTTGGCCAGCCAGTACCAGGCTGTTTTGATTACAATGGCTTTATAGTATAATTTGATATCTGGTATTGTGATCCCTCCAACTTTGTTGTTCTTTCTCAAGATTGCTGAGGCGATTGGGTCGTTTTTGGTTCTACATAAAATTTTGGAATATTTGTTTAGATCTGTGAAATATGCCATTGGTATTGAAATAGGAATTGTATTGAATGTATAGATTGCTTTGGGTAGCAAGGACATTTTAATGATGTTAATTTTCTAATCCATGAACACGGTATATGCTCCCACTTGTTTGTGTCTTCTTCAGTTTCTTTCTTCAATGTCACATAGTTTTCCCAGTACAGGTTTTTTTGTTTTTGTTTTTGTTGTTGTTGTTTTTTTACCTCTTTGGTCAAATATACTTTTAGGTACCTTATTTTGTGTTGTTATAATATTAGATGGAATTGCTTCCTCAGGTTCTCTTTCTGAGAATTCATTATTGGTGTATAAAAATGCCACCAACTTCTGTATATTTATTTTGTATCTGCTTCGCAAAATTCATTTGTTAGATCCAGGATTTTTGTTGTTGTATTTTTTTTTTAGTACTTCTAGTACTTTGTTGAATAAGAGGGGTGAAAGTGGACATCCCTGTCTTATTCCTAATCTTAAGGGAAATGCTGTTAGTTTTTGTCTATTGACAAAACTAGGTTTGTCATATATGTCCTTTATTATGTTGAGGTATGATCTTTCTATTCCCACTTTGCTGAGAGTTTTATCATAAACTAGAGGCCTGGTGCACGAATTCGTGCGTGGGTATGGTCCCTAGGCCTGGCCTGTGATCAGGGCCATCTTCCCCAGCTGCCTGCAGCTGGCCCCTCCCCCTGCCTCCACCCACCTCTGGTTCCCCGTTCACCATTAGGCAATCAGAGCCTGCCAGCTGGGGGAGGCACCAAGAGGTCGGCCACTCCCTGGCCCTGCCCCCCATCCCAATTCCCCGTTTGTCATTGGGCGATCAGAGCCTGCTGGCCAGGGAAAGGGACCAAGAGGTGGTTAGTGCACCTCATAGTGACTGGCCATCTGAGGCTTGCCTGCGCCTTGGGCTGGCCATTGGCGGCTGTGGGGCTGAGAGGACTGGGTGACTCTGGAGGCAGGTGCATGGAGCCTTGCCGCGCGCCTGCTGCCCCGGTGGAGATAAAGGGACTGGGCGCTGCCATCTTGTGGCTGTGGGCACTGCCATCTTTAAGGGCATGGTAGTCAATTAGCATATTCCCTCCTTATTGGCTGTAGGTGCCACCGTCTTTGAGGGTGGGGCAGTCAATTAGCATATACCCTCCTTATTGGCTGTGGGTGTCACCATCTTTGTGACGGTGTGAGGTTCAATTAGCATATTACCCTTTTATTATATAGGATGGCTGCTGGATTTTATCAAATGCTTTTTCTGCATCTATTTTTCTTGAAGGGGGAGTGTCTTTATTGATTAAGGTATTACATATGTGTCCTTATCCCACCCATTGCCTCCCACCCCCCACTCATGCCCTCACCCCTTGTTGTCTGTGTCCATTGGTTAAGCTTATATGCATGCATACAAATCCTTTGGTTGATCTCTCCTCCTTACCCCCACCCTCCCTACCTTCCCTCTGAAGTTTGACAGTCTGATCAATGCTTCTCTGTCTCTGGATTTGTTTTTGTTCATCAGTTTATGTTGTTCATTATATTCCATACATGAGTGAGATCATGTGATATTTATCTTTCTCTGACTGGGGCTTATTTCAATTAGCATAATGCTCTCCAGTTCCATCCATGCTGTTGCAAATGGTAAGAATTCCTTCTTTTTTACCGCAGTGTAGTATTCCATGTGCAGATGTATCACAGTTTTTTAATCCACCCATCTGCTGATGGGCACTTAGGCTGTTTCCAAATCTTAGCTATGGTAAATTGTGCCACTATGAACATAGGGGTGCATATATCCTTTCTGATTAGTGTTTCTAGTTTTTTGGGATATATTTCTGGAAGTGGGATCACTGTGTCATTTTTCTGCATCTATTGACATGTGATTTTTATTCTTCATTTTGTTTTTGTGATGTATCACATTTATTATTTTGCAAATATTGTACCAACCTTGCATACCTGGAATAAACCCCATTTGGTCATAGTGTATTATTTTTTTAATGTGTTGCTTGGATCTCATTAGCTAAAATTTTGTTGAGGATTTTAGTATCTATGCTCATCAGGGATATTGGCCTATAGTTTTCTTTGTTTGTAGTATCTTTATGTGGTTTTAGAATTAGGATAATGCTGGCCTCGTAAAAAGTTCTTGGAAGGCTTCCCTCCTCTTGAATTTCTTGGAATAGTTTTAGGTGAATAGTTATTAGTACTTCTCTGAATGTTTGCTAAAATTCATCAGTGAAGTAATCAGTTCCATGAATTTTGTTTACTGCTTCAATTTCATTTGTTGTTATCTGTCTATTCAGGTTTTCTGATTCTTTTTGATTCAGTTTTAGAAGATTGTATGTTTCTAGGAATTTGTCCTTTCCTCCTGGGTTGTCCAATTTGTTTGCATAGTTGTTCATAGGATTTCCTTGCCATCCTTAGTATTTCAGTTTGTGGTTTTTTTTGTTAATCCTCACCCCAGGATATTTTTCCATTGATTTTTAGGGAGAGTGGAAGAGGGAAGGAAAGACAAAGAGAAACATCAATGTGAGAGAAACACATTGATTGGTTGCCTCCTGCAGTTGCCTCGACCAGGGCCCCAGCTGGAGAGGAGCCTGAAACCAAGGTACATGCCCTTGACTGGAATCAAACCCAGGACCCTTTGATCCACAGTCCGATGCTCTACCTACTAAGCCAAACTGGTTAGGCCTGTGATGTCAATTTTTACTTCTGCTCATTCATTTCTGGTTTTATTTGTTTGAGGCCTCTCTCGTTTCTGATGAATCTGGTTAAAGATTCATCAATCTTATTTATTTTTTTCAAAGAATCAGCTCTTGGTTTCATTTATCTTTTGTATTTTTTAAAATCTGTATGTCATTTATTTCTGCTTTGGTATTTATTATTTTCTTTCTTTTTCTGAGCTTGTTTGTTGTTCTTTGTCTAGTTCTTTTAGTATAGGATTAGATTTTTTATTTGATGTTGTTCTAGCTTCTTGAGGTAGGACTGTAATGCTATGAATTTCCCTCTCAGGATTGCTTTTGCTGTGTTCCATAGATTTTGGGTTGTTGTGTGTTCATTTTCATTTGTTTCCAGGTAATATTTTTATTTCTTCCTTGATCTTTTTGTTAACACATTCATTATTTAATAACATGCTATTTAGCTTCCATGTGTTTGAATGTTTTAGTGTGTTTAAAATTGTAGCTGATTTCTAGTTTCATGTCATGGTTATTTGAGAAGATGATTTCACTCTTTTTGAATTTGTTAAGACTTAAGTTGTGTCCAAATATGTGGTCTATCTTTGAGAATGTTTCATGTGCATTTGAGAAAAATGTATATTCTGCTTGCTTTGGGATGGAATGTTCTGCAAATATCCATTAAATTCATTTGATCTATTGTGTCATTTAAAGTACCTGTTTCCTCTTTGATTTTTTGTCTGGAAGATCTATCCAGTGATGATGTGGGGTGTTAAAGTTTCCTACTATCACTGTACTGCTGTTGCTCACTCCCTTAAATTCCAGCAAATGTTTTTTATATACATAGATGCCCCCATATTGGGTATATATAGTTTACATGGGTAACATCCTCTTGTTGGATTTATCCTTTTAATATTATGTAATGCCTTTCTTTGTCTCTTGTTATGGCCTTTGTTTTGATAGTCAGGTGGGTGGAGCCTTGAGAACCCAGGGGTTGAGTCTGCTGAAAGCTGGGAGAGTGTTTTTATTGGGTCTCCCTTGATGGAGAAGTGTCAGTCTGGTTCATGGGAAAATGGTGGGAATGGCCCCACCCAAAAGCCAGTCACTGACCCTTTCCCTGAGTCTGCTCAGACTTCTACACCCTGGCCAATGCTGCTGACTCTTCAGCAGGGCTTAAGACCCACAGGATGGTGTGAGAGGGATTTCTGAGGGTGGGTAGTAGCTTTCCTGCAGGCTGATTCACCTCAGTGGGGATTGCTCCACCCAAGAAAGATGGCTGCTGCAGGATTGGAGGATGACTCAGTACAGGAATCCTGTTGAGTATGCCCCCTACATTTCTCCCTAAAGCCACAAACCTCATATTCTCCTCAGGTGACTCCAGTCTGCACTGCACTCCCTCTGCTGGAGTCCAGGGTGAGTAGAGGCAAACAAAATTTTGTGTGTTGGCCCTTTAAGAGGGTGCCTTTATCTCCAGTGGGTTCCACCTCTCCTTGGCAGACAGAAACCCTGCCAGAATTTCACAGCCAGATGGTATGTGGGCATCTGTTCCTGCCTCTGGTGCTCTGGTTGGGAGCCCATTCTGGGGTTTAGGCTTCACACCTCTCAGAGGGAACCTCCCACAACTGAGCTATCCCTCTGTAAATTCAGCTGCTGCCCATGGGGGTGTGAGGCCAGCCCCTTTCGTATCTCTGCCCTTTCTACCAGTCTCTTAGTGGTTTCTTCTGCCAGTCCTTTGTCATAAGTATCCTCTTCAGAGTCTTTAGTTTGAAATTCAGGGTGATTGTTCCCCAATTTAGTTGTCTTTCCAGAGTGGTTCTGGGTGGAGGTCAGAGTAAGATCCATCAAATCTGTCACCATCTTGAAAAGAGCTGAAAAAGCCTCTTCTTACTAAGATTTTGTATTTTTTATTGCATAAACATTTTAAAGATATTTGTAAACTTTTGGTTAATTCCCAGAGTTGTGAAAACATTTATTTTGACAATTTTTTAAAAACCAGTATTTTAGTTGCTTTATGGAGGAATAGATTTGCAGAGACCCTGACTCTACTATTACTGTTTTAGTCTCACCTGCCTTTAACTTCCCACAGCTGTTTGTACACCTGGGGGAAATTTCCTTATTCTTCTTTAATTATGTGAATATTTGTCCTCCACTAGACTATAAGTTTCTTTGGGACAGGAACTTTCTTTGGTGTGTGCAGTGCCTTGCACATAGCAGGTGTTAAGTCAATTATCGGTTGGGCAAATATCTCTGTATTTGTTAGGCACGGTCAGACAAGGCAAAATGTCTCCGCATGGCAAGGTCATCCTACTGCTTTTATGTTCAGTGTTGGCTCTGTAGCAGGCAGTAAGTAATTTTCTGGAGATAACATCAGTTCAACCCTGCTGTTTGTCTTTAAGTTTTGGGATTATTATTTTAGAATATGGCTGAATTAATCCATTAAACTAATATGTAATATTTACTTATTATGTGCAAGGTGTTGTACTAGTGCTGTAGACAAGATAATAAAAGTAATAGAGTCTTTGACTCCATGGAGTTTAAAATTTAGAGGAGAGAAAGGCCAAAACAAAAATAAAACAACAACAACAACCCCCAAACATTAAGTACAAATTGTGATAAATATCATAAAGGAAATAAAATGGTGTCGAGATAGCAAATGTGACTATTTAGTACACTTACAATAATGGCCTTTTGTTGCAATGTCTTTGTATTTTGGCAGATATATGTCCTTTTGCAAGATAATCCTCAGTGTGTTTTAATTTTTTTTTGTCTTCCTAGGTTTTTTTCCTAAGAGATCTGTACATGTCATTTTAGCTTTATGTTTAGATATATAACATATACAGAATTCACCGCTTCATTCTTGCCTCCTCTTAGCCAGCATATTTTATCACTGCAATGGGGTCCTTTTTCTTGTTATCTCAGACACTGTTGGGGAAGACCTAGGTCAGATACGAGTAATGGGAACCTGCTACATTTTTAGAAGAGTGAATAAAGAAAATATATAAAAGCAAAATTAACACCCAAATATCTATGGCATTTTTATACACCAATAATGAACTCACAGAAAGAGAAACTTAAAAAACAATCCCATTTAGCATTGCAACAAAAAAATTAAGATACCTATGAATAAACTTAACTAAGGAGGTAAAAGACCTATACTTGTAAAACTACAGGACGTTGAAAAAAGAGATAGAGGAAGATATAAATAAGTGGAAGATTATACCATGTTCATGGATTGGTACAATCAACATCATTATAATGTCCATACTACTCCAAGCAATCTACAGATTCCAATGCAATCCCCATTAAAATACCAACAGCATATTTTGAAGACCTAGAACAAACTCTCCAAAAATTTGTATGGAATAAAAAAATACTCCAAATAGCTACAGCAATCCTGAGAAAGAAGAACAAAGTTGGAGGAATTACAATACCAGATATCAAGCTATTTTGCAAAGCCATTGTTCTCAAAACTGCCTGGTACTGGCACAAGAACAGACATATAGAACAGAACAGAGAACCCAGAAATCAACCCAAGACATTATGCTCAATTAATATTTGACAAAGGAGGCAAGAGCATACAATGGAGTCAAGACAGTCACTTCAACAAATGGTGTTGGGAACATTGGACAGATACATGTAAAAAAATGAAACTAGATCACAATTTACACCATACACAAAAATAAACTCAAAATGGATAAAAGATCTATATATATAAAGAGCCAGGGTCCACAACGACCGAAGGCTCAACTTAACACGGGAAGTCAGTGCTGCATTGCAATAATGGCCTTACTGCAGCCGGTGCCAGGGCAGCAACCCAGCACTGACTGCTGAGGGGACTGCTGATTAGGCCCAGGGAGAGGCCTGCAGAGAGAGAGGCAGGGTTTGATCTGCAGCCTCAGTGGCAGCTGTTGATCAGCCCTTGCCTATCTCTTTCTATCCGGGATCCACCAGCAGCCCCACCTCTGTTTCTCTCCGGGCCTCTGCGGGGCTGCTGATCAGCCTCGCCTCTTTGATCAGGCCCATAGATAGGCCCAGAGATGCTGACTGGCATAGAAACCATCCAATCAGAACCAAATCTGGGTGAAGTGCCAGGAGCCAATGGCTGCCTAGGAGGCAGAGCTTTGATGCTGACTGGCATAGAAACCGACCACTCAGAACCTAATCTGGGTGAACTATGAAGGCAGAACCTAAGGTGGGGGCTGAGGAGGAGTTTAAAGGGCAACAGCTATTTGGAGTATGGTGTAAGAAAGCGGTTCAATTTCTTAATGACTGCTTTGGCAATGTAGTGCATATGGCTGGCTATCAGTCCAGATATAGGGATTATGTGTTTTTGTCTGCCAAGAGCATCTCCTCCTGCTGAAAAAAGCTTCCCCCCCCCTCCATTTAAGCAATCCTATCCTATATAATCTATCTATACTAATAAAAGGGTAATATGCTAATTAGACCGGGTCAACCAGCCATCTTTCATATGTCCGACTTCCTTCTGGACAAAGCCATGGTGGTGGGGGCCAAGGCAGAGGCAGTTAGGAGCAATCAGGCCAGCAGGGGAGGGCAGTTGGGGGCGAGATCAGGCTGGCAGGGGAGGGATGTTGAGGGTGAGATCAGGCCATCAGGGGAGAGCAGTTAGGGGCGATGAGGCAGGCAGAGGCAGTTAGGGGCGATCAGGCCAGTAGGGGAGGGCAGTTAGGGGTGATATCAGGCTGGCAGGGGAGGGCAGTTGGGGGCAGTCAGTGCAGCAGGGGAGGGCAGTTGGGGGCGAAATCAGGCCAGCAGGGGAGGGCTGTTGGGGGCAAGATCAGGCCGGCAGGGGAGGGCTGTTGGGGGTGAGATAAAGCTGGCAGGGGAGGGTAGTTAGGGGCGATCAGGCAAGCTGGCAGAGGCAGTTAGGGGTGATCAGGCAGGCAGGCAGAGGCAGTTAGGGGCGACAAGGCAGGCAGGCAGAGAGGTTAGGGGCAATCAGGCAAGCAGGCAATGGGGTTAGGGGCAATCAGGCAGGCCAGCAAAGGCAGTTCAGGGTGATCGGGCAGGTAGGCAGGTGAGCGGTTAGAAGCCAGCAGTCCCAGATTGTGAGAGGGATGTCTGACCACTGGTTTAGTCCCGATCCCACACGGGCCTAAATCGGCGGTTGGACATCCCCCAAGGGGTCCCCAATTGGAGAGGGTGCAGGCTGGGCTGAGGGAACCCCCTAGCCCCGTTCATGAATTGGGGGCGAGATCAGGCCGGCAGGGGAGGGCAGTTAGGGGATATCAGGCAAGAAGGCAGAGGCAGCTAGGGGTGATCAGGCAGGCAGGCAGAGAGGTTAGGGGCAATCAGGCAGGCAGGCAGGCAAAGGCAATTCAGGGCGATCAGGCAGGCAGGCAGGTGAGCAGTTAGAAGCCAGCAGTCCCAGATTGCGAGGGGGATGTCTGACCGCCAATTTAGGCCTGTGGGATCGTGCCTAAACCAGCAG